ATTTGTCTCTATCATGTTTCCCATTTTACAGCCTTGCCCATCTCAGAATTTTCCTTCATATTGCCTGCAGCTTGATTGATCTGAAACTCAAGTTTGAAATCCTTTAATATCGCCGAAGAGCCTACAGGGTAAAGTCCAAGATCCTTGATGTGTCTTAAAAGGTACCCTGTGAGATGGCATTTGTCTGCTTTTAAGCCTCCTCTCTAATCACTCCTCATTTCACACATAACAACTAGTAACACTTATACCTCCTGGAACACACTGAGTTTTGTCAGGCTCTGGGCATTAGTTCATATTGTTTCCTTTTGTGTACGAACAAACATCTGTAGGTCTTATCTTGGGGTAGTTCAGGTCCAGTAGAGGCATCCTGCAAAATTTCTGTGGGGTATGTATCTGTTTGGGCCTGTAAGAAGCAGATGCATCACTCAATGGGGTAATGGAAGAGAATAATAGAAGGGTCCCTTGAAGAGAATTTAATAAGGGGAATATTTATCAACATAAACATCAAGGGATGGTGAAAAACCCAAGGACTAAAAAACAGGTAGAAGCGTTTATCCCCCCTAGACCTAAAGGGGCAAGGGGAAGGAACAGCATTTTGGAGCTGGGAGAGATCTGTAACTCTGTGTGAGAGTGCATCCAACAGTTACAATGTCTGAAAGCAGCGGAATGTGGCCACTGCCAAAAAAGCATGGGGGTGGGGGATGTAGAATAAATAGCCCAACTCCTCTCTCCTTCCACCTTTTTTTCTTCTGCTGGTTCTTCTCATTGGCTGATTCCAAATGAAAGCCAAAGTCTAAGGAAGCCAAGGTGAAGCAGTCCATAGAGGTTATCCTCCCAGGGTAGGGCAGAGAATGGTAAAGGATCAGGAGAACATAACAGAGAACAATCAGCGCAGAGGGGAACCTGTCTGCTAGTGTTCTGTGAGAGGAACGGGGCAAGAGGGCTAGGGATGTCACCTTTCATTTTGAAAATGTTCAATTAATCTCCTGTTTTCAGATGGTAGCTAATCTCTTAGCTTTGATAGGTATTCCCAAGTCTTAGGCTGGGGAGGAGGTCTAGGAAACTATTTTGTTAAAATATAGACTTTCAACCATTTCTCCTGTTTTCAGCTCAACTCCACACTTTGCCTTCAAATGTACCTGCAGCCTCTAATTCCTGAAACCTTCTGGGATTTGCAATTCAAATCAGCTTCCTTCTCATTAGCTTCCTTCTCATTAGCTTCCTTCCCCCTGCAGGTTCGGTGTCTGACATCCCCTGTCCACTAGGTCAGTTTTCACTAAAACATTTCACTAAAAACATTATTTTTACTATCCTAGTCAGGAAACAAATCTGCCTTCTGCTTTAGAGGGAGACATCATTTCTGTCTTTCTAAACTGTTTTCCATACAAATATCTTTGAAAAGATAGTCTGGAGCAAAAGCTGTCAATGCTTCTTTACAACACATGCAGAAATAAAGGAGACCACTGAAAATTGCCTCCCAACAGTAAGGAAGAGAGAGTCAATTCATGGATTGGCCCTTTTAAAAAAAGGAATGAATTTCTAAATTTCTGGTTGGTGGAGACCCTGTATCCCTGACTTCAGAAACAGACAGTGGTAAAGTATGCATTATATTCTAACTCCTTTTCAGGCAGTCTGTTTCATGAAGCAGAATTTAAGTGCTTTTTTCCATCAAAGTTCTATCTCTCTCATAGTAAGTATGATGTCTCTCAGACTCCAGCATTGAAATACCTATCAGTCTTCGTTTTTGGTATTGATGAGTTTTGGTCTTTTTTTGGTCATTTCATAGGTATTTATTTATTTATTTGTCTAGGCTGTTCTGTGCAGCTTGCAGGATCCTATTTCCCCGACCAGGGATTGAACCAAGGGCCCTGGCAGTGAGAGCGCTGAGCCTTAGCCACTGGATTGCCAGGGAATTCTCCCATAGGTATTTTAAATAGGAAGTTGGGAAAGGCTTTGTAGAAAGAATGTGTAAAGGTTAGCAAAACCTTTTCTCTTTCTTTGTGGGCAAATGTGACCTTGGGTTAACTTTCTAATTATGTTTCTCTGGAATCCTGATAAAGTAGAATGTCAACTGTCTAATTAGCAATATTGTTTATGGCAAAAATGACCCTGATTGGGGTAATTTTGCTAGGCCAGGAAGGTTCCTGGTGTGAAGCCAAAACTTTGGGCTTTCCTAAATAACTCAGTATATCTTTTGGGGGTGCGGATCTGGAAGCTATGCTCATGAATGTTAGTTCCTATCTGGGACATGGGCTTTCTAATCCAGAATGACTATTGCACATGTCCATATGGGTCTCATTCTCTTCCACTTGAGCTGTTATTTGGGGGAAGACAAGCACCTGGGCTGGTGGATTGCTTTGAGTACTCCTACATAAGGAGAATGCCTGATACTGCCCTGCTCGCTTGCTGTCCTTGCATACTTTTGGCTCCAAGTATGACCTGTTCTGGTCTTGTGAGACTAAATATCTAGATGAACTTAGAGATAAGCAAGAGGAAGCATTGCTGAGCATTTTTAAGAAGATATAATTTCTCTGTGTGTTTTTTGTTTTTAATATGATTTACTTAATGGTAAGTTTATAAATAAATTTATTTTATTGAGGTATAATTGACATACAATATTATATTAGTTTCAGGTGTACAACATAATGATTCGACATTTGTATATATTACAAAATGATCACGACAATAGGTCTAGGTTAAATCTGTCACCATACGTAGCTACTGATTTTTTTTCTTGTGATAAGATCTTTTAAGATTTACTCTCAGCAACTTTCAAATACACACTACAGTATTGTTATGTATAGTTGCCATGCTGTACTTTACATACCCATGAATTATTTACTTTATATCCAGAAGTTTGTACCTTGTGACTCCCGTTGCCCATCTGCCCATCCCCAAAGCCTTGCCTCTGGCAACCGCCAATCTGTCCTCTATCTGTGAGCTTTTTTTTTCTTTTATTCTTTTGTTTTTTTCTTTTAGATTCCACATACAAGTGAGATCATAACGTATATGTGTCTCTCTCTGACTTACTTCACTTAGCATAATGCCCTTCAGCTCCATCCATGTTGTCACAAATGGCAAAATTTCATTCTTTTTAAGCCTGAGTAATATTCTATTGTATATATATATATATATATATATATATATATACCACAATTTCTTTATCCATTCATCCATCAATGAACACTTAGGTTGTTTCCATGTCTTGGCTATTGTAAATAACGCTGCAGTGAACATGGGGGTACAAATATCTTTTCGAGTTAGTCTATTTTTCTTTGGTTAAATACCCAGCCGTGGAATTGCTGGATCAGATGGTAGTTCTATTTTTAATGTTTTGAGGTATCTCTATACTGCTTTCTATAGTGGTCGCACCAATTCACATTTCTATCAACAGTGCACAGGGTTCCCTTTCTCCACATCTTTACCAACACTTGTTATTTTTTGTCTTTTTGATAAGTGTCATTCATTCTAACAGGTGTAAGGTGATATCTCATTGTGGTTTTCATTTGCATTTCCCTGATTATTAGGCATATTGAGCATCTTGTTGCCTGTTGGCCAGTTGTATGTCTTCTTTGAAAAAATGCCTGTTAAGATCCTCTGACCATTTTTGGATTGGTTGCTTTTTTACTGTAGGTTACCTTTTTATTTTGTTGATGGTTCCCTTTGCTGTGCAGAAGCTTTTTAGTTTGATGTAATCCTACTTGTTTACTTTTGCTTTTGTTGCCTTTGCTTTTGGTGTCAAATTAAAAAAATCATCACCAAAACTGATGTCAAGGAGCTACTGCCTTTGTTTTCTTCTAGGAGTTTTATGGTTTCAGGTCTTTAATCCACTTGAGTTAATTGTTGTGTATGGTGTAAGACAGTGGTCCAGTTTCATTCTTTTGTATGTGGCTGTCCAGTTTTCCCAATACCATTTATTGAAGAGACTGTCTGTAAATTAATTTACTGTATGTATGTAGGTTTATTTCTGGGTTCTCTCTTCTGTTCCATTGATCTATGTGTCTGTTTTTATGCCAATACCTACTGTTTTGATTACTATAACTATGTAATATAGTTTGAAGTCAGGGAGTGTGATGCCTCCAGCTGTGTTCTTCTTTTCAAGATTGCTTTGGCTATTTGGGATCAAGAAGATATCATTTTAAATGATATCTTAGTCTGTAAAGTGGTTTAGAACCATCATGCTGACAGGGAAAATAATCCTGGCTCAGGATTCCTTTCTGTTAGTCATTATCTGCAGAGAAAATTCTCAGACAAATTTCAAACATCTTTAAATTGATGGGGTGACTCATCAGGAAGATCAAGAAAATGCTAGAGCAGTATTAATGGGCATTTGACAAGAACTTCTTAAATTTAAGAACATGGGGTGATATGTGTATAATTTCTAAAATAACAACTGTCTGAATGATACCCACTAGTGGTTATTTTGACAGCTCTTTCTTCCACAACCTTGTGAGACTTAACAACATTTTTATTAAAGATTTTGATGAGAATGATAAAGAAAGGCTAATCAAATGTGCCATCACTATGACTCTAGGGTAGAGAGTATATTATACGATAAAATTAGGATCCAAAATATCTTCTAAAAGCTTGAATAATGAGTTAAATAAACCAAATAGAATTTAAATGGGATAGTTATGGGTCTTACTGGCGTAGAAATAAGGTTTTATATTTGAGTTCCTCAAAACAATAACCAACTGCAGAACTATAAGATAGAAAAGTGGCATAAAGGTAACATGTGTATCCTAAATATTCTCAAATATTATCACCAGCCTTCTGGGGTTACCCTTTTGTTTAACAGTCAAATAAAATTAGTCTATACTCTATTGTTTAACTTCAGGAAATCCAAGGATTTTGGCATGGGGAGGGAGGTGGGGGTTGGGGAGCTTACATTCTCCTTATTATCTTCAATAAAATCGTGCTCTGAACTTCTGCTTTTTGCTTAGTTTTTCTAGTGAATTCTCTGTTTTTCCTATTTCTTTTTCTTTCTTTCCATTTTCAAGAGAAGGAGGGGATACAAGTCCTGACTGAGATGCCAAGTTCTCTGGATTCCTTCTGGTCCCTGATGTGGAGCATCCAGTTGATTTTGCTCTTTGGACTGGAAACTGTTGAGGTATGTGTCTGTTTTTGTGCCAGCACCATACAGTTTTGAATGCTGTAGATTTGTAGTATAGTTTAAAGTCAGGGCATATGATACCTCCAGCTTATTCTTCTTTCTTAAGATTGTTTTGGCTATTCGGGGTTGTGTTTCTGTACAAATTTTAAGATTATTTGTTCTAATACCATGAAAAATGTCACTGGTATTTTGATAGGGATTGCATTGAATCTGTAGATTACTTTGGGGATTATGGCCATTTTACTAATATTAATTCTTCCAATCCATGAACACGATATATCTTTAAATTTGTCTGTGTCATCTTCAGTTTCTTGCCATTTGTGACAACATGGGTAGACCTAGAGGGTATTATGTGATAAGTGAATTAAGTCAGATAGAGAAAGACAAATACTGTATGATTTCACTTATTTGTGGAATCTAGAAAACAAGATAAATGAACAGACATAACAAGACAGAAACAGAGTCACAGATACAGAGAACAAACAGGTGGTTGCCAGAGGGGAGGGGGATAGGAGAAGATGAGTGAAATAGGTGAGGGAGATTAAGAGGTACAAATTTACAGTTATAATATAAATAAGCCACAGGAATGTAATGTACAGCCTGGAAAATATAGTCAATAATAATGTAATATCTTCATATGTTGACAGATGGTAACTAGACTTATCATGGTGATCATTTTGTAATGTATAGGAATATCTAATCACTATGTTGTGCACCAGGAACTAACATAGTATTGTAGGTAGGTCATTTATACTTCAAAATACAAACAAACTTATAGAAAAAGAAATCAAATTGTGGTTACTGTAGACGAGGTAGGAGGAGAGGGAACTGGGTGAAGGTGGTCAAAAGGTACAAACTTCCAGTTATGAGATAAATAAGTACTAGGAATATAATGTACAACATGATTAATATAATAAAAATTGCTGTATGTTATATATGAAAGTTGTTAAGAGAGTAAATCCTGAGTTCTCATCATAAGAAAAAATATTTTTTTCTTTTCTTTTGTATCTATATGAGATGATGGATGTTCACTAAACTTATGTCATGTTATAAGTCAAATCATTGTTCTGTACACCTTAAACTTATATAGTACTGTATGTCAAATAAAAATCTCAATAAAACTGGAGGAAAAAAACCCACATATAATATTTGGCAGCATTATTCTAAATTTCAGGAGTATTTAGAATAAATGCAGTGATTGATATCCCTGCCCTGATCTGGGCCTCATCTTTCCTCAAAGAAAGAGGTGGAGGAAGAGGAAGAGTAGGAAGAAAAAAAAGCAAAGAGAAAGAAGTATAAATATAAATGGTCAAAGTGAAAAAATGCTCAATATTCCTAACAATTAAATAAGTGAAAATAAAAACAGCAATGAGACAGCACATTTGACTATCATATAGATAAAGATTAAATTGTGATTATGTCCAGTGCTGGTGAGGGTGTGTAGTGGTAGACCCTTGACTACATAGTTGCTAGAAATAGAAATGTTTATAACTTTTCTAGAGGGAAATTTGATAACTATTAAAGTTTTAAATGTACATATATTTTGAACCAACAATCCAACTTTTAGTAATTTATTCTAAATAAATAATCATGCAAGTATGAAATAAAATATATATATAAGGATAAGCACAGTATTATTTGTACTAATGAAATGAAAAATTATCTAAATTTTTTTCAATGTGATTGATTAAATAAAAAATGGTACCTTATGCAAATGAATGCTTATACAGCCATTAAAACTGCTAAGACATGTAGCAGTAGAAGGAAGGTCTTCCATAGAAGGAAGACCATGACTATTTAATTTTTAATTTTTAATTTTTTTTTTAGCTGCACCATGTGACATGCGGGATCTTAGTACCCCAACCAGGGATCGAACCCGTGCCCCCTGCATTGGAAGCATGGAGTCTTAACCACTGGACCTCCAGGGAAGTCCTAGTCCATGACTATTTTAAAGTTAAGAAGTAAAACAAGGTAAAGGACAGTAATTATACTATAGCCCCACTTATTTGACTATATTTTTGATGCCTGAAAGGATATTCTTTGAATTAGCCAAGAACTCCTTTGGTGCCAAATCTAGTCAAATTAGTTTAGGTAGAAAAGGAGATTTGTTGAAATGACTGAGGTAGCTCACACTAAAAAAAAAAATGCTTCCAGAACCAAAGAAATTTTAGGGAATTCAGAGACTAGAGTGTGGAGGCTGAACACTGCCAGCCCTTTTTTTTTACTTTTTCATCTCTTTCTCTCTCTATCTTGTTTTGGCTTCATTCTCTCTTACTGCAGACAGGATTCCTCCATGTTGTGAGAAACATGGCTGCCAGCTACTTCTACAGATACAAATGGTACAACTCTAAAACCAGTGTGGCAAAAGAGATTCCTCTTTCTCAGCTTCCCATTGTGAAAATCTCAGGCCAAGATTCTGATTAGTCTTGTGTCATACGCTCACATTTTTTGACCAAGTAGTGTTAATATGAGGGTGATATTCTATGATTGGCCAGCCTGTTGTCAGGGGAGTGGACTGCTTCTATAAGAAACAGTAATATGGACATGGCCACTGAGGCAATAGTTATGAACTGCACAGCTAAGCCAGTTGTGTCTGTTGTATACATTAAAATGTTAATTATGGTTATTTCAAGGAGGTGGGATTAGGAAGGAGAATTTTGCTTTATATAATCTATATTAAAAAAATTTTTTTACAGTGAGAATATATTTTATACTGAGCAAAACAAAGTTATTCCAATTTTGAAACAAAAAGATAAGGAATAAGAACTTATTATCAAAGTCTACTGAAAAAGAGATTCAGGGGCACATGGTACATTGTAGAAAAGTATTTGTATAGCTCCAAGGCTATGCATGGCCCCTAGGGTTGGTATTAAAACTAGTGAATGGAAGCTATAGAGAGATATTGGCTAAACATAAGAAAAAATGTTCAAAGTCAGAATTTTCTAAGAATGGAGTGCATTGCCTCAAGAAACATTAAGTTCTCACATAAGTTCAAATATAGGCCAGGTCACTTGGAGAAGGTGATATCATGAGGATAAAATACCAGAATGGTATGTGTACCAGGTAACCTTAAGTTCCTTTTCAACTATAATTCTATGATTTTCTAAAGGGTAGATCTTGTTTTTTAGGTTCCTTTTGTTCATGCACTATAAAAAAGAAAATTTTGACTTTTTTAGGTCATAAAACCTCCTTCACCTAACATGTACATGAAATTAAAAGAAAGATGTTCTTGTTTTAAACTTTGTAGTTTACTCTCCCTTTTCATCTTTGTTACATGTCTAACAACCAAATAAGCAAATTGAGTATTATGTAGCATTACTGTCATCAACTCTTTATCTATAGAGTCATCACTGATATATTTTTGAGAGCTATTTCTTTCTGTCTGCCTGTCTTTCTAATAAGAGAAACTGGATCTCACAGTCTGAATCCTTGAAGCAAGGAAATAGAATCCCAATTTTTTTCAGAGGAGCAATACACCCAGCTAAAATATTATATTTCCAGACTTATTTGCAGCTAGATGTGACCAACTGACTAAGTTCAATGGAAGTGATGTGTGGGACCTCTGGGAAGTTTCTCAGTGGGAACTGGTTTGGTTGGGAGAGGACTCATTTGCCTTTTCTGCTGTTTGGAATGTGAATGTGATAGCTAGAGCTCAGCAGTCATCCTAGTTCATGAGGTGACTTTGAGGGTGAAAGCCTTTCACTGAGGATGGTTGAGATGATAGAATTGAGCAGGATGCCTGATGCTTTTTGTGGAGTCACCATAACAGCTCTGTATCCTTACAGGAAAGAACAAGTCCTTGTATGCTTAAACTTTTTTATGTCTGCTTATTGTAGCCCAACTGCAGTTCCTGATAGAATCAATGTTTCTGTTTAGTAATATTTGTGCTCTCCTTTGAAATCGATGCTTGTATTGAGAGTAGGGTTAATTTGTAGGATAAAGAAATGAGAATATGGCAAAAAGAGATCCTGTTCCCTGATAATCACTTAGCTCTTCCAAGGAGTAGTCTTAAACATGAGGGAGAGGGTAACTATGATAACAATAGCTAATATGTGTTGTGTATTTATTCACAACACTGCTGAAAGCACTTTACATGAATTAACTCATTTAGTCTTCACAACCTCCCATGAGGCAGTTATTTACCCATTTTATAGATGGGGAAATTGAGGTACAGAGAAGTTAAGTATCCTTGCCTAAGGACACACAACTGGCAGAGCTGGGCATCTATTTCCAGAGTTCATGCTCTTAACCATGATGTGGCACTTTCTGCAAACAGGGCTCTCACAGGGAGCCTTCTGAAAGCAAATAATAGTATAATGTGCTTGTCCTAGGACCCAAGTCCATCAGGTACTTCATACTTGCAAAATTAATGATAATTTCAGTTGTTAATTTGTCAACAAAAGTGTCCTACAGAATGTACTATTTCAGTGATTATTATGTGAAGAGTAAAATAATTCAAACGGGTAATGTAGCTTAAATGGCAATAACTACATTTTTGTGCCATTTTTTGAATATGGAAAGAAAACTCCCATTATTTTATATAATGTATATGCCTTTTTAAAATTGAGATATAGTTGATTTACAGTGTTGTGTTAGTTTCTGCTGTACAACAAAGTAATTCAGTTATACATATATATATATATTCTTTTTCATATTCTTTTCCATATAATGTATATGTCTTAAAGTATGTTTATTTGAGTCATTTCCCTATCAAATAGCTCTTTTGATTTTCCTTTGCTCTTTTGTTTCAAATGACGTGAATGCTTATTTTTGGTAAAAGTGGTTTTTAAGAACTGATGCTTTTAATTCATGCTATATTTTTGTGGCATCCATACACATTTATCTCTGGTTAATGTTTTCACATGTGAGTTGGATTTTGTTCCCACCCTAAAATATTTAGTTTCCCCAAACTGATATAACTACTTTGTCATAAAATATTATAGCTTACAATAGAGTATCTAGTTAAAACCTAATGTTCAAAGCAATGGAGAGATTCAGAAAAAAGTTGGTTGTGACTTGTCCCTTTGAAGCAGAGTAGATGCGGCAAGTAGGTAGTTGAGTAATGTAATCAAAGGATGTCAGAATGCTGTTAGAGACTTAGTTTGTTTCTGCTCTGGTGAGAGATGGCAACTCAATATTGGGACATGTGCATCATTGAACCTTGGAGATGATACTCCTCAGGGACACCTTTTAAGAAGAACAGGACATGGGTCATTTTATACTTGCTACAATTAGCCATTACTAGGTAAGGTATTTGAGTGCTGGGTTGGTTATTTTCTGTTTTCCCTGCTCCCCTTTCCCAGGTTTATTTTCCACACTTCTCCACCCTAGTCTTTGTCCCTGGGGATGGATCCAGATAAACTGCATTTCCTAGACTTTCTTGTCCTCTTGCTTCCAGTTGGTTTGGGCAATGGGAAGCACCAGCAAGGGGTTGAAGGGTAAGAGGAGGGAGAGAGGAGAGATCAGGATATCCCTTCCTTCTCTCCATCGCTGCCTTGGAGCTGTGTTCTGGCTGTGGCTGCAGTTCTACAAGTACAGGTTTCCATTTTCTCAATTCCTCCATCATTCCAGCTCCAGCCTGTCCCTTCAGGCCTAGAAGTGGTAACAGTCCCAGAGTATTCAACATGCCTATTGAATCGCTTAACTCTTTTCACACATGTGTAGATAGTTTCTTTATTAAAATATCTTCAAACCTCAGCTGAGTGCCCCTTCTGTTTCCTGCTAAGGCTTATACTCTGGGAATGGACTCAGACAGGTCAGTATACACTTTCCTAGTGACAGAAGGAGTGGACACCCTTATTAAAAAAAGAAGCTTCCTGACAGATGACATGAAACTTACAGGTATTTTCTTTTGGAGGGCTTTAAAAAGTCAGGGAATTCTTTTCTTTGAAATGGTTTATGTCTGTCCAATAGTTTAGATTAGAATATCAATGACTGTCATATCTATGCATGCCCAAATAATTGTTCAACACAGTCCCACTCAGCCATTTCAGTGCCCTTGTGCAGTTTAAAAAAATGTTTAAATACATCTTATCTTTTGCTGTTTTACTTTTTAAAGCCTCTCCCCACTTTTCACCTACTGCATGTTTTTTAACCTGAGTCATCTTAAAAAGAGCATTTGTAGAAGGTATTTCCTTAGGTTTTGTTTATGATTATCTAACCTTGGGAGTTGAGAAAAGAACAAAAGTAAAATTTATTTCAGCTGAGTTCTGGGGATTTTCTTCTGCAGATGTTTTTCTTCCCTTGCAAAATAAAAGCCAGAGACAACTATTGTCCAAAGTTGAAATAGTGAGTATGTTTTGGCTCAAGGTGTACTATAAGTATAAAGATAATTTCATGTGCTTGATGAAGAACCTTTGCTAGAATAGATTAGTTTGGCCTCAGGTATGTGGTGAGTGGCCATTGAGTTGGAAAATGCATTCTTTTCTATTCCAATTAGGAAAGAGAATAATAAACAGTTCTTATAATGTTTGCTAATATATAAAGCCAATATTAACAGACCTGAAGCAATAAATAGATAGCAATACAATAATAGTAGGTGATTTTAATACCCCACTTACCTCAATGGATAGATCAATGCGATCCCTATCAAATTACCAATGGCATTTTTTTACAGAACTAGAACAAAAAAATCTTAAAATTTGCATGGAGACACAAAAGACCCTGAATAGCCAAAGCAATCTTGAGGGAAAAAAATGGAGCTGAAGGAATCAGACTCCCTGACTTCAGACTATACTCCAAAGCTACAGTAATCAAGACAATATGGTAAAGGCACAAAAACAGAAATATAGGTCAATGGAACAGGATAGAAAGCCCAGAGATAAACCCACGCACCTATGGTCAACTAATCTATGA